GTCTGCGCCTGATCTCTGAAATTTTATTCTCTATTTTTCTCTCCTTCCCCAATAGAAGTAGATAGGTTAGCCTAACGTCCGGTTCATACTCCTCCCGGTATTTTGAACAGGATTAGATGTTTATCTCTTGTTTCCTGTTTAGGATTGGGTTTCCGATTGCTTCTAAAGTCTGCTTCAGCTCTAACGCTTGTTCTTTCCTACGCTAATATATGTCCACACCGTAATCCTCTACCTTGAGTTGCTCTTGGGCCTTATATTGGGTGAACATTAGTAAAAAAACTTATGATAGTCTTTTTTTTCATACTAATATATACTAATATGAGTATATTCTAATATATGTTCGTATCTTAGTGGGTGTGTATGTAACCCCATATATATATATATATATATATATATATATATATATATATATATATATATATATGCATGTATGTAACCCCATATATATATATATATATATATATGTATGTGTGTATGTATGTATGTATGTATGTAACGTGTATATATATATATATATATATATATATATATATATATTCGATTACTCTTGTCCAATATACCACACAGATGATCTTTTGAGTGTCAAATTAATTGCACCAGTAGAATTGATATCAGGGAGAAGCATTTTAATGCTGCTTCCACGGAGTCGAATCACTCTCATTTCCTCCATATATCAAATGTAAAGAGAAAGTTGCACTTCAGATTTGTGAGAGCCAATAGCTGGCTGCCACGAATAGACAGGAAGATTCTATTGGCCAGCGTGAGAGCCAACAGCTGACTGACACGAATGTTAACTAGCATGCTAGCATGCAAAAAAATCGATAGCTACATTCGTCACAAGTGGTAAAAATTTAAATCTGCATGGCACTTTACTCCAATTGGCTCATTCACTTGCTTAAACTCAACGTTGATTCTGATTCCGCAGAACTGGGTTCGGTGTGAAAAAGTATTTGTTGTTAACATTCTTTTTTCATTCGGTTTTTCCGGTTACGAGTCCTTTTTTAAAGCTGATCGTTTTGTGTTCATTTTGTTTAGTTCTTTTTCGTAACAGATAATGTTTAGTATAGAGCTTAGAAAAAATTCGCAGTGTGAGATAGGCAATAAGTAAGGCATGTAGCAACATCAGCACGGCAAGGGACACTCCTTTAAAGGAAAGGAAGGGCAAAAATATTTTAAGTCAAGTGATAGCGATTGCTGTACAGAAATTACGATTTTGAATCAAGCACGGGCAACCCCGGGCCATGCTGTTAGTTTATTATATAGATTAACTGATAATACGAGAATAAATACATTTCATACATTTATTTATACATAAATACATTTTTCTTTGCTGACTTCCAAGAAATTTTAATATATGCTAACGGACAACATTTTTTTTTTGGTAACGTTAAATCCATTATAAATTCTATCTCTGATCAGGTACATGAAGTGATCTGTTCGATCTTATTACCTAATTTTGATAGGATTACTCAGTTAATATTTATAATTTAAGCATGCCGGATCCGGTGTTCAGTCTCTCTAATTTAAGGCCTTCTGATCGATACGATTACACAGTTTGTAATTACGACCATTTAGAGAGGGTGCAGCCTCGGGAATCTGTTCCCCAATCCTGGGCACCTCACAGTGTGATTGCCGGAGGACAGAGGCGCAACTGAGTCGCACTCTGCCCGAAGACAGAGACGCAACTGAAAGATGATAAAGACCTACACCAGGTAAGTATCCCTCGACTCTATAAATCATTTCATTGGGCGCACAGATACTAATCTCTGATCCTAATCAGAGGATTGGGCATGAGCGTTTTGATCCTTGGATAAAACGCTGATCCAGATGTAAAACAATCCGTCATTTTTTTTTAAGGGTACGATGTCTGTTTTATTTGTAATAAAGAATACTGAGGAGAACTGCTATCACTTGATCCCGAGTGGAAACCAACAGCTATGATTTGAGTGAAAATTCATTAAAAAAAAATATTAACGCTTAGAAATCAAAAGTAAATAATAATAGTGCTGATACAGTGATAATGGCCACTGATGAAAGGAGAGCAAGGGGAGAGTAAGGAGGTTCAAGCGAGAAAACGTGATTTTGATGACGTAGAGTTCAGCTGTATAACGTAACAGAACGAATCCTGGCACCTGCGTCAAAATTATTCGAAGGCTGGAAAAGTAGAATATGTGAGCTGTTTACATATATTTGACAAACTTTCACTTTATGTATACATACATACATACATATATATATATATATATATATATATATATATATATATATATATATATATATATATATATATTTATTGAATGTGTGTACATATAAATATATATTCAGCGTGTTTGGGTTTGCAATTTTTTATTTATTTATACAAGTTTGTTTAAAAACCAACGAAAGTTAAGAATTTCTTGGTTTATTTTGTTTATATTCTCTGGTATCCAGTGAAAATATTTCATATTTTTATTATATTAATTTTTTCGATTCATATAATTTTGATTGTATTTATTTATATTTATATAATTCAATGATATATATTGAACATAAATCGTCTGGATATTTCGTGTTATACATTCATATGTATTTAGATATTTATTTATTTATACATACATACATATATATATA